AGTTAATTGGGGTGATTCCCGGTAAAATTTTTTGATGAAATTTTTTGAGCATCTTCTTCATTAAGTCTAGTTTACCCATATCAAATTTCAGTTAAATATTAAATCGGGAAGACAGTCAAATGATTTTCCGAAATGTACTGCGCTGTTTAACTGCGCAGTAATCTTCAAAAAATCATTTGACTGCCTTCCCGGTTGAATTTGTAGCTGAAATTTGGTATGAGTAAACTACACTTAATGAAGAAGATGCTTAAAAAGTTTCATCAAAAAATTACACCAGGAACTTTCCCAATTGGCGACAGCCGAGCAGAACCTCCTATATGAGGGGCTAATTGAACACTTTAAGTTAGTTCATGTACCACTCTGGACCTCTAGTACTATCCTCACAAACCACCACTAGCCTTTTCCGCGCACTTTGCCCTCACTCGTGCGCGCCCTGAGAAACTTCTCAGGGGGTCACCCATCCCTAGACTACGTCATGTATATAGACAAATTCCAAAATGCCTTCAATTTTTTGTGTTTCTTTAGAGAATTAAAACTAAAGAGTATGTGAAAATTTTCCTTTCATTTAATAACAATTGATTCATATAAAAGATATAAGTGTGTGGTTCCCTCATTAATTAAGAATTTGATGTGAATTCCAAAATATTGTTGAGATGTCGTCTAAAATTCTCTGTATAGAAGTATTAAATGTTCTACAATATTCTACACTCCATCGGTCATGGCTCCGTCGGCCAGACCTCCGTCGGCCATAGAGAGCTCATAGAGCCCAAGGCTTGGGAGCCAGCCCATATTTTCTCTATAAATACTCCCCTTAGGGGTAGTTGTAGAGGGTTGACAAATATATTGATTGCATATTTATAGCACTTCTCTCTAGCTCTCACTTTTCTCTAAGAGTTAATACTCTATAAGATATTTTCAAGTCTGCATCCTTATATATGTTTTCAGTGTGTGGATAAGTGTACAAGAGTCTTATAAGCTCGTGATCATGGACAAGACAATGATATTTTAAAATGTTTTTTTATTGAGATATTTTCCTCCAACAATATGCTTTATCAATTGCCTAAATCCTTTATATTTTTAAGGACCCTATTGATTCTTGTTCCCTAAATAGTTGTTTTGTGACAACTTTTTTTTTAAATCCTCTCTTCTCGTTGTCTTTAAATTCTTCTTTGTTTCATTTTTTTTTTGCATTTCTTTCGAGTTGCTACTTTACATTTTGCAGCAACACTTTTCTGTACAATATACAGAGTCCACATAATTTTTTTGGGGTAACACCCAATAAATAAACTCAATAAATCATTCGCCAACTCGCTTACAATAATGCAATCGGGCGGAGAATCAAAAGTTTATGAAGTATAAAAGTATTACTTCCTAGGGACAATGAAAAATTATAAGAAAACACACAACCGAGCCTGGTACCATAAGACAGAAGAATAATAAAAACAAGTCGGCTACTACGACATAGTTATTCGAATCTGGATTTTCTGCATCGGTTTCAATTCCTAGGCCATTTTTATCTGGCCTCAAGAAAAGCTGCATCAAGAGAATAAACTAGATTAGAAGATATTGTAACGTGGATTGATTTTGAATTCACCAATACGAGAAACTTAAATGAATAAAATGCATAAATGGTCCTTGAACTATTAAATCTATGATTTTGATCCTTATTTGGGAGAAATATATAAATGGTACTTTAACTATTGGTAATGTTGCATTTTGGTACCTTAACTGATCTTAAATGAATCAAAACAGTACTTTAAGTATATATAAATGTTTCAATTTGAGATCTTATTCAAATTTGAGTTCAAAAAATCAGATGTCGTGACCGGAATTATATGCGTAAAGTCTAATTCACCTTAACATTTTAAAAAAATATAGAAATACATATATAAAAAATTTAAAAAATGTGTGCAAAAAAGATCACTAATTTTTTTTAAGTAGGTTATTCTTGCTTTTGGTTACGCACTTAGTTGCTCAACGCTTTTTTCACTTCATTTTCTTCTTTTTTCTTTTTCTTTGATTTTTTGTTTAACAATTTATTACTTTAATTATATATGAAATTATTACGAAAATTTATAATATAAAATATTATTTATTGTCCCAGTTTTTTTTTCTTTTTCCAACTAACCTTCTAACTTAGGTTTTTTTGTGCATTATAATATATTTAGGTATTAATGTTTTATTTTTCTATTTGTAATTTTAATATGAATATATATTATTAGTTTATAAATATTGTGTGTTATTTACTAACATAAGTTTTTTGTTATAATAAAATTAGTATAGTTTAAAATAAATGTGCGTAAGTAAACATTATAAAAAGAAAAGGATTATTAGCTTATTTTATCCCAAACCATCATCAAATTCACAAATCTATCCTATTCTTTCACCTTTATAAAAAAAGACTCAAACTTCATCTTGTTCAACAATTATGCTTTTTTTTTTTTTCAAAATGGAAGATTTACAATTTTAGTCCTGTAACTTTTGGCTGTTATCGTTATTAGTCCTGTAACTTTAAACACCTGCAAATTTGGTCCTGTAACTAAAAAATCCTTGCAATTTAAGGACTGTTACACCGGAAAGTACACTTTCCGGCAAAAATTCCGACACCGGCATCACCTTTTCCGGCATACTATCGCCGGAAAGTGTACTTTTTAGGGGAAAAGTCCTTAAATCGCAAATATTTATTAGTTACAGGACCAAATTTGCATGTGGCTAAAGTTACGAGATTAATAATGAAAACGGCCAAAAGTTACGAGATGAAAATTGCAAATTTCCCTTTCAAAATTACACATTTTTATCAATACCAATAAACATATAAGCAATACAAGTTTCCCTCTATCTGCTCGTTTTTATTTAGTTCTTTTGTTTGTCTGTATATTTCCGACGTTTCACTGTTCGTTAATTTTATATTGCAACGCTTCCATTTTCACGTTTGCGACATAGGACATAAAGGGTTATTTACTTATTTTCTATTAATTCATGTATGGATGAAGACGTCTGTCTAGGTTAAAATGTATGTCTGTGTTAAGTGATATTTGTATATGAGGATATTTATTTTGCGTGATGAATAAACCGTCTAAATTGAGTAAAGTAATCAATTTAGAATTACTCTTAGATTATATATATAATGTCAATGAGAAATTTCAATTATTAACATAAATCTATTCCATGATCGATTTAGAAAGAATGACAGTGAAAACGTCTTAATACGTAGACATCTGAAGAGTAAGAACTACATATTATTTTCCAGCTTAATGATTGAATGAGTTCTTTACCACTGAATAAATAAATCATGTTTTCAATTAAGTCGTAAGCAAACGCGATTGAATTACTAAATGATTAAGTCGTCTTTCTCATTAAATCTATCTACTAAGTTGAAAGTAAACGGCCTTAGTATAGAATAGACACCTGCATTAAGTTTGCGGCTGATGAGAGGATCCAGAGGCCTTCTCCTTGCGTTTCTCTTTAACACTGTGATACACACAAGAAACGATCGCGGCACCAACTACAACGATGATAACACAGAGAGAAATAATTCCATATAATTCCATGGGTGTACCCGCGCGCCTGACCGGTCGAAGAACTAACAATGGAAGACTCTTAAACTGGCAGTAAAATGTTGATGAAGTCACTGAATGGAAAGTAAGTTCGTGTTGCCATTTAAATAGAGTGAGTTGGTGCCATATATTTTCCAAAATACCCTTGTACTTCGTATATACGATAGGACTCTGTATTTTGTTATAATTGCAAAGATTGAAAACCACAATAATAATGAAAGCTAGTGAATGCAGAAAATAAATGAAAAAAAAAATATGAAAAGGGATATGATCAAGTACAGAAAATATAAAATGTAACTACAACTTATTGCAATGAAATGTTGCAAATGGTAAAATTCTCTCCAAACAAGACCCAGGGCCGGTCGTCTGGCCTTAGGCCAAAAAATATATAGAGACAAAAATAGGTCCAATTTTTTTTATCCATATATAATGTGAGTAGGCTTCTTTTTTATTTTTAAGTTCAATTAATTAGGTCTAATGAAAAAAATAGAACATAACTAAAATGTCTTAAACGAAGTCAAGTTTAAAAACCGAATATACATTAATTTTAAGTAGGACCAATTGTAGTTTTTAAATTAAAGCAACACATTGAATCAATAAAAGACACATCTCTTTAGCTTTTAATGTTTTTTATTCCTTTATTTTAAGTGAATATTGTTGATTTTGCTTCACATTGTTATGCGAGAAACAATTTAAGTAATATTTTTTCATTTTATGTAGTACTTGTGTTGTTACGTTTGCCCAAATATGTAATTTAAATAACATTTGCCCAAATATGTAATTTAAGTAACAGTAAAGTGAGTTTGGCTTTTATTTTATGACATCTATTAGATTTTTTGTTATAATTCATATTTTAAATATGTATAGTTTATGATATATCTTGTGTATAAGTTCAATATAGTATATCTCGCCCATAGGCCCGGAAATAGGCATGACCGGCCCCGAGAAAACCATATTGAAACTAATAATATTTGTTGCAATAATGTGTCCGTGTAATATATGGATAAACACACACACAAATATTCAGATCCATAATAAATATTACTATCTATAATATATGGATATTATATAGATTATGATGAAGTTGACTAAAGACGGAGTATTTTGACAGTTAAGTTGCATACAAATTTTAAAAAAAATCTATACATGTGATGTATGTGTTGACGTAGTAAAAACGTCACCATGAATTTGAAAACAAAAATCTTTCTATGCGTTTCTTTTACGTAGTATATTATTTCTAATGCCATAAAATGATTGTAATACAAAAGTTATCTTAATTGAAAGTGTCCAACATTAAGACTTGAGAGCAATCTATCTTACATCTAATTTGAAATTATTTTTTGACATAAGGCCGATCCTTTATATTGGGGTCGTTTTCACAAATAGACTAAAAAATGAAAGTAATAGACCTTTTTATGTATATTACTAAATAATAAAGAGCTTAAAGACCAAAAAGTGACTTTACAAGAACATGGAAGCGGTTGTCTCCCTAGGCTCTTAGGGTTAGTTTGCGCAGCTTTCGTTTCACACCGCCGAATCTCATTCAAGGCGGCGTGTCTTTTCTTTGTTTGCTGGTAGCTTGTGCAGATTTGTGGGTTTGGACTACAGACGTTGAGCAGATATAATTGGCGCTAGTTTTCTTTGTCGAACCTATTCATCGGCGCTATTTGACAGGTGTGGATAAAATGGAGATGGAAGACATCGATAAAAAGTACAAAGAGATGGCCATCGGGGAACAAGAGGAGGAGAGTTTTTGAGGAGGATGCTACCGAGGAAGAGGGAAGTTTGGCTAACCAGGAAATCTACCCAGTGGTGGGAACGGTTCTCACGGACAAGATGGTGAAATTTCCGGTGCTCAGGGATCTCATGGCTTCAATATGGAGACCGGGTAAAGCTATTTCCATCAAAGAAATTGGAGAAAAAAGGTACATGTTCCCTCTCTATCATGCTATCGATATGGAACATGTTATATATTCGTGGTAGACCATTGATTTTCGAGCAGAACCTATTGATTCTGAGGGCGCTTAGTCCAGGTGATGTGCCGCTGCAGGTCCCTCTAAACGAGGCAGAGTTTTGGGTGCAGGTACATAATGTACCGTATGGTTTTATGAACATTGGGACAGCGCGGAGAATAGGGAATTCCATTGGAAAATTTATTAGTTTTGACGAAAACCAACTCGAGGAAAAGTGGAGATCCTATATGAGAATTAGAGTTAATATGGATGTAGGGAAACCGTTCAAAGTTGGCACGACTCTCACGAAGGGGCCGGGCACGGGACACTGGGTTGATTTTAAGTATGAGAAATTGCCTAGCTTTTGTTTTGTCAGTGGTATCATAAGGCACGCTGATAGGTATTGTCCCCTGGTCTACGAACATAAGAGCGGGGAACTAGCTAAGCCCTATGGCGTAGGTCTTCGTGCGGGGGGAGGGGGTAAAGCTCGCTCAATGAGCGGGAATAAATGGATAGTGCCCGAAGGATCGGTGGGCGGTCGTGGAGGGTTTCAGAGTGCGGGAATTGGAAGGATTGGGACAGGAAGGCAGAGCTGTGTTCTCATAGTGGCGGGAGATAACACGATCTGCAATGAGGAGGAGGAAACATCAGTTGAGAAGGAAATCACTGGCAAGCAGAAACGCAAGAGGACATGGGAGGAGGAAAAGGACGAGGAAGTAAGGGGAGACAAAATGGCACTTGATGTCCCAAAAAATGGAGATGGGGCGGGTCCAGGCTATTCGACCCGCCGAGAGATGGGAAGATGGACCTAGCTTTTAAGGCTCGGGGAAAGCTCCTTGGAGTGCTGAGGAACCTACCCCATTTTATTGTATCAATTTTGCAATCAACGATTCGACCATGCAAACTCGAAATCATTTTCTTTGGATAAATAAACAGATTACTCGATTGATTTCCGCATTGATCATGTTATATATCATAACTCGGACATCCATTTCAAATGCATATCCTATTTTTGCACAGCAGAGTTATGAAAATCCACGAGAAGTAACTGGCCGTATTGTATGTGCCAATTGCCATTTAGCTAATAAGCCCGTGAAGGTTGAGGTACCGCAAGTGGTACTTCCAGATACTGTATTTGAAGCAGTAGTGCAAATTCCTTATGATATGCAACTTAAACAAGTTCTTTCCAATGGTAAAAAAGGGGGGTTGAATGTGGGGGCTGTTCTTATTTTACCGGATGGTTTTGAATTAGCCCCTAAAGATCAGCTTTCTCCCGAGATGAAAGAAAAAATAGGCAATTTGTCTTTTCAGAGCTATAGACCCCCGAAAAAAAATTGTTGTGGTGGGCCCTGTTCCTGGTCAAAAATATAGTAAAATAACCTTTCCCATTCTATCTCCCGATCCTGCTACTAATAAAGATGCTCATTTCTTAAAATATCCTATATATGTGGGTGGAAACAGGGGAAGAGGCCAAATTTATCCCGACGATAGCAAGAGTAACAATACTGTTTATAATGCCACAGCAACAGGTAGAGTTAGCAAAATAATAAGAAAAGAAAAAGGGGGTTATGAGCTAACCATAACGGATCCATTGGATAGTCGTCAAGTGATTTATATTATCCCTCCTGGACCAGAACTTGTTGTTTCAGAAGGGGAAGATATCAAATTTGATCAACCATTAACGAATAATCCTAATGTGGGGGATTCAGTCAGGGAGACGCAGAAATAGTACTTCGAGATCCATTATGTGTCCAAGGACTTTTGTTATTTTTGGCGTCTGTTCTTGTGGCACAAATATTTTTGGTTCTGAAAAAAAACAGTTTGAAAAAGTTCAATTGTCCGAAATGAATTTATAGACTTGTAGCATTAGCAATCTAAAAAGAGGCGATTCAGTGTTATCCATAATATATAATTAAATTGAAGTCAAATTCTCAAAAACCTTTAATATCTTTATACTATTATATACTATTATACTATATTTGCCAAATTTTATACTAATTGCTGGGAATTTCCGGTCATAGATCATAGTATGTCTAGTTTTACTTTTATACTTTAAAGAAGATTTTTGGCATAACTCTCTATTTCATAGTTTTCTATTTCAAATTAAAGTAAATTAGAATAGATTTTGCGTCTTCCTCTTTTTACTTTATCAATACAGGAAAAAAGAGAAAGTAAGGGGGTATATATAATATTGGTTCAAGATTTAGAGTATTGGTTTCTAGTTTTGAGGTGTATTTTTCTACCTCATTTTGAAAATGAAGAAAAAAGATTTTATATATTCTATTATTATAATTATCTAATAATAGAATATATAAAATGAAATGATCGAACTTAAGATCTATATTTTTTATAGCATCCTAGCACTTTATTCTTTGTACTTAAAGTACTCAAATGAAAATATCAATCTATACGGTAATAGAGACCAGGCCTTCTGAATAAATCACTGAGATTTATAGAATTTTTTTTTTATTTTGTGAATAAAAGAGTCTTCAGAACTCAACGTGATTTGCTTTTAAATCAGGTTGAGTTCTGAAGACACTTTTATATATACCTCGAACTTAATTGATCCAATTACTATAGGGATGAACCCAATCCAGAATATGAACCATAAAAGAAAATACCTATTAAACCTATTACAACAATACCTGTTAGAGTACCTATTATCCAAAGAGGAATCCTTCCAGTAGTATCGGTCATTGATCCCACTTACCTCCCACACTTCATAACGTGGTCATGCTAGAGACATAAATAGTCATGGATAATTATAATATGAGATCCTTCCGATTGGACTAAGAGAATGCCTATCGCTTTGAGGTATTCTCTTTTATTAATCCTAATTGATGAAATAATTTGAAAATAAAACAGCAAGTACAAAAATAAGTAATAATCCCCAATACAGACTGGTACGATTTAATTCAACGTTTTGTTCATTTGGATTTGATTGTGTCATAGCTCTATAATCCGGAGTAATTTGATCATTCAATTTATCGTTGAATAAACTGCATTGCGGAAATTGAGCCAAAAAAAAGACAGTAGGTACAGTGAGGCCATGAACAGCTAACCATCGTACTGTAAAAATTGGATAGGTTCGATCTATAGTCATTGGGACCTCCTACGAAAACGATCTAGGAAATTAATAGAGTTGTTCAAAAGGATCAAAATGGCCGATTATTAATGGAATTCCTTGCCGGTTCTCTGTGAAGTACTCGTTTGGCCGTGGACTTCCAAACACATCGTAAGCTAAACCGGTGCTGACGAATAACCAGCCCGCAATGAATAGACAGGGTATAGTAATGCTATGAATGACCCAATATCGAATACTAGTAATAGTGCAGGACGACTCAATCTTTCTTCAACATGGGAGCAAGTTAGAATCTGAGGACCCTACTTCCATCTCTAAACTGATTTTAAATCAACAAATCCAGACGATAGGATCCGATAATGAACATGGGAGCAAGTTAGAATTTTGGAAACAATTCCAGATGCCACCAATCCATGCTTACTCGTGTGCCTCAGACGATTTTGATCATTCAGACGACTCCAACTTCACAGATGATTTCTTGGGACATGCTACTGAAACCGATCGTCGTCCTCCTATCTCATACCCAGAAGGAAAAGTGTAGCAAATTTTTAAATACATCCCAACAATAAAAAGTGTAAAAAAATTTATAATACGGAGGGAGTATGTAACGGAACCTATATATGAAACTAAATGTTTATGGAGGCCATCAGTGGCGGATCCAGGATATTTTATTATTGGGGGAAAAATTAAATAAACTATCAATCACAATTCAGAGCGAATACTATTGCATACTACCTCTGTATCAAAAAGTGTTCCAATAGGCTTTTCACGAAGACGAGATAATTTATAAGTTCACTGTATAGTTTTTGAAAAAACAGGAGATTTTTTTGTTTGTACTATAACAGTACTGTTTACTTTATTAGAGTGTATTGTAGCTACTTTTGAGGTGAATTTCTTTCATAAAATGAAAATGAGACACTTATTTTTATACGGTTCAAAAGGGAAAGTGAGATGCTTATTGTGATACAGATATGATGAGGTATAATACTACCCATTTTATTCATTTTGATGAATAGTTTATATTTTTAATAGAAAAAACAAAAATTGTCATATTTGAGTACATAATCATGTTTTTATTCACAGTTTGAATGATTTTTCGAAACTAATCTAATACAAAATAATTATATTTTTATTTATTTACTATTCTATTTTATACTCCGTAATTAACTACTATAGCTCTTGCGTGAGTGTACTGAATGGAAACAATATTGTGATCGATAATCATCAGTTTGTATATTATTATAATAAAAAAACACATTATATTATATTACTTAGGGTGCAACTAATGAAAAGATAAATTAAATCCATTAATTTCTATTAGTTTCTATGGAGTACCACTTCATCCTTTCATCTGTTTTATATTTTCTATGTTATTGATTTTTTTATATTTTTTTATCTTATATTGTTATCTTATCATTTTTAAAGTTTATCTTCTCTATATCTTTATCTTATCTTTTTACCATATTTGTTATATTTTATCTCTTATTTTCTAATCTCTTTTTATCCTATTTATCTCGAATTTCCTATGTGGATTCATGTTAGTCAATGCCAAACACTTTAGGAACTAAGGTTTTAATGTTATTTTTGTTGTTTAAAAATAAACATAACTATTTATCTAACTCTCGATCATGGTTTAATTTCAATTTCAAATTTTTTAAGAAAAAATCATTAGTACATTTTTTAGATACCATGTATTGTTCAATAAATTCTCAGTGTTCCATCGTTTTTCTATTTAACTAAAGTCTATATTATAATGGGTGTACTACCTTTTTGTTGGGGGCACACTGTTTATTTCATTGGGGACATTGATTTATTTATGGCTAAACTATTTATAATTTTAGCAATAATATTCCAAATTTATTGGGGGCACTTGCCCCCACTATACTATATGTGTATCCGCCCCTGGAGGTAATCATTAAGGCAGTTATTGGGGTAACAGATAAAACAGTTATTGGGGTAACAGACTAACAGTACACTTTGTAAGTTACTTAACTTTTCTAGATTAATAATTATTATAATAAGCTATTATTGAATCGAAACCTATATATTAAACAGACTTAGAGGACATTTGGTAACACTGAAATTGACTGAAGTTGTGGTTGAAGTGACTGTATTGGGTAATTCTGATGATTTATGAAAAAAATGTGTTTAAAATATTTATTATTAATAAAAATAATTATTATATGAAAATAGATCAAATGATCCTCTATAGTAACTTAAATCAATTCAGTTAGAAAAGTAACTCAACCTTACCTTTTCTTATTATTACACAATTCTGCGCGCGAAATAAAAAGTTATTTGTTTGGTAAAAAAACCGTCTGATAAGCCTGATAAGTCAGAAAAAATGTCACCAAACGGGTTCTTAATAAATAAACGGAAATAGTAATAAAGGTAATAAAGTTATTAGACTTTGAAAATGAGAAAATAGTGGCGTGACTAATAATAGATAATATAGTGACGCATGACAATAGTAAATAGTAAACACATGACAATGTTTCCCAACATTTATCGCATTGATTTTTGTGGTTTGTCTACCGGCTAAATAAATGAACGTTTAATAGTAATGGAAAATTAATAGAGTCCTTAATTAATGTTTAGTGGTAATTGATTCAATGAATGACACGTGGCTATGAGTTTATAATAATAGTGACATGTGTCAATATGTATTTTCAATGTGACTCTCAATTACATAATATTTCCTCCGTTCTTAAATAAATGCAACACTTTCATTTTTCGGCAGTTTCATATTAATTGCAACCTTTCTCTTTTAAGAAATAAATAATAGCCAAATGACTTATGTATCCTCACTTGATTCTAAACCCAACCGATCACCACTCATGAGGTCATCTCTTAATTTTGCCTAGAGATGGCAATTGTGACCGAACCGATGGATACCCGCACCGAACCGT